TCTTTTTTATTTTTTTTAACTGCTTAGCAACTTTTTCTTCTAATAATTCGTTCTTTGATATAACCGTTCACTAAAAAAATTAGAACAAAATAAAATTTAATAATCAAAAAATATTTTAAATATTATTTTAATTATAAATATACATTTTATAATGATTATTTTTATATTTACAAAATATTGAATGACTAAAGTACTTTAAACACTTGACAGATTTAATTTTGAAGTTAAGAAGTTAGTACTATAAATATACGGTCATTAATTGGGTTGTGATAAAATCAGAGGGTCTAATAAATGACCGAATGAATTTTTTACTGGGTAAAGGGCTTCTGACGGATCCGCAATAGTTGACCGGTCTTAAAATAATATTAAAACTTATAATTTAACTTTACTTTTTCAAAAAAATTGGAATCTGATCTTTAATTAACATAATAAAACTTAAATATTTTATATATTACCGATGAATATCACTAAATTAATGATAAAATGCACTGACTCTCCAATTGTACGCTAGTTATTTTTGACCGCTTTATGGCTGGTTGCGTTGTAAACAAACTCTGAATATTTTTTTAAAGCTATAATCACTGCGCAATTGATTGCGTAATTTTTTATTATGATGATGACTAAATGCCGTATTTTTTTATTTCAATACTGTAAGAAAAAAAAAATCCTTGTAAAATATTAATTAATTAACTTTTTTATACATCGGTCAACTATAATTAGTGACCGGCAACAACTAGTGCATTTATCCTAATTAAAAAAAAAACGTGCTTTTTAAATATATTTTTTTAATTCTTTATCTAATTGGATTTCAAGAAATGTTTGATTTATCTGAAAGTTATTATTGCAGTTCAAATACTTTTATTTAAAAAGTATTTTACTGAATACGCAGATTAGACTTTTAAGCTCGAAGAGCTCAAAAACGTCATAATAGGTGAAATTTAGAGTGCTTAGCATTTGAAATTAGGTAAAAAAAATTTATTTACAATATTTTTCAAAAGAATGATAACTTAACAAATTTAGTCATCCTCTCCTGACATGAACTGGAGCACGGTGGCCAACACTGGTGCTCATCCCATCGAGGATGAAGATGAAGATGAAGATGTCTTCTGGATTCCGCTGCCCAGACCTCAACATTCAATCATCAGTCCTTGCAATGCTGATACCAGATACATCAAGCCTCTGTATAATTCCAAGTCTTCGCCTAAATATTCTTCTCGCTTGAGCCCTCCAAGGCGTCATGGCATCCAGGGCTCTTATAATTATGACGCTCAAAGACAAATTTGGACTTCTACTTTAAATAATCCTAATGGAAAAAAATCACACAAGTAAAATTATAAATAACTTTTGTAAACTTTGTAAATAAGTCATTTTATTTAAAATATGTAGTACATTTTAATTATTAATGTATTTTATAATTGTTTAAATACTTACATTATTGTGACAATATTTTATTTTAATTTTTTTTTGTTAATTAAATGTCATTTTGTAATTTTATTTTTAGAAAAATAATTATTAGTTTAAACAAATGCTCCAAGTAATTGTTACATAAAATTTAAGTTTGTGAAATATTATTTTGTACTGATATTTTTTACTATAATCAAAAATAAATAAATAAACCAATTTCATTATAATCTAAATTATGCTTTTTTATTTTATTATTTTCACAGTTACAATTTATATTATATAACAAATAAATTACGGCAAAAAATTGACATGTAGAAATTTTTAAAAATTAAAAAATGCAATTTTTTATAATTAATTTAATTGTTAAATAAAATTTTAAAAAATTGGTTAAGCTAACTTTAATGTCATTTAAAATAATAATTTCAAGTTTCAACACATGAGCGCTCAAGTCGTTGATTATATTAGGATTAATAATAATTAATTAATTATTATGGGATTAATTATAGGATTAGCAGCTATTAAAAAGAATATATTGAACAAAATTTTTCGGGATTTTTTTTCACATTTAAAATATAAATTTCTTCATAAATGTTAATTTCTTTTTGGAAAATCACTTAAATATCATAAAGAGTAATAAATTACATCCATTCAATAACAAACTAAGTTCATTTCCATACTAATTGTTAGAAATTTCAGTCATTGTTATCGAAATCTTTGATGTCAAAATTTGTCTAGATGTAATTAAGAACAATGACCGAGTATTATGGATGATGTAAATGATTACAACTATTAATTTTATTTTGTATGTAGAACATGAAAATGTTTCAATTAAATAATTTACAAACTTGCACAGAATTTCAGAACTCAGTCTTATCTGTCGTATCACTTGATATATAATTAACTTTTTTTAAACAGATTTATGAAAAAAATCTAAAATTATTAAAATGTTTAGTTTTTTTTTATACGTATTTTTATTAAAGTTCCATAACATACTTTCAAGGTACATGATTATAATTATTACAATGATTTTTCTACCTGTGAGATCTTTAAAAGTTATACGTAATTTTTCAATCCACTTATGTCATGAAGTAATTGATACTACGATAAAATTAAAGCAATCACAGTAAGAGCCACAGAGATAATAGTTGTGAGTGTTTTTATTGGCACCAAGGTTAATACTTTTTAATTAATTAAGTAAACTAAATTACCTTAGCCAAATTAACATTTCACACTATCACCTCAATTGGTTATTTCTTTATTCATTTTATAAACTTGTCTTCTTTAATTTCGAAGCTGTCGAGAAAAAAAGTTTTTCAAATTAATCGTTATTTTACAGTTTTATCTACATTCAGGCACATATAAATTCAAGCAAAAAAGAGGAAAAAAGATGTTTAACTTGGCAGCAAGTTTTATAAATATTATTATACTATAATACAGCAAACGGAAATCATGTGTTATCTTTGACTTTTTTTTTTTTAATTAATTAATTTAATTACCTTTGAGCTATTTTTTTTTTTTTTTCTTAAGTGTTTGCACACCATTTAATATTAATTATTTACAATTACTGATAAAGATATGTTTTTCTAAAAGGGATCAAACTAATCAAGCAAATTTATTATTTTTTTATTTACTTTTTTTAACGTACTTTTTACTATGTTAAAATGATTTTGTTAAACTGCGTTTATGTGACAGCATAATATTTGCTTTCAAATATTTTTCATTTTTAAAGATCACAAAATTTTAATTTCAAAGTAAAAAGATTTTGAAGATTTTTTTATAACCTTCTTAAGCTCTGAGAGTATCCATCTCAAGAAGACGACATTATCTATCCATCGACAGTTTATTTTTTTAATATTTATTTTTTGCATTTTTCATCGATATGAAGCTTTTAATTTTTATTTTTTACAGTAGACCGTCTTGTGGTAATAGGCTCCTAAAGGCACTGATCGAAGGATTTACAGCAAAATATTTCACTATTATTTTTTCATATTCCGGAAAATTATTCATCACCGGAATTTTGTTCACTCATTTATTATTATTTCTTTTTCTTTTTATTTGTCTCAATGAATTTTTTGATGGATTGAAAATACCTTCATTAGCTATATCACAAAGTAGAAATAAAAAATATTTCAACCAGATAGACAATGTGTTTTTCTTAAATAGTCAATGTACTAATAAACTTTTAACACTGAAGTTATACACCTGTCATCTATAATTTCAATTTGTTAACTTCAGTAGCTAAAAATTAAATTTATCTCAAAATTTTATAGGCTACATTAAAACCAATAATATTTTAATTTAGAGTAAAAAATGAATTCGAAAAAATTCCACTCAGTTTCTGTTTTTTTTTTCTTTTTCTTTTTTTTTTTTTATACAATTTGGTCTATATATGTATAAATTAGCTGTTGCCAATTATAATATAGGCACATAATTCAGTATATTGTAAGTGTAATGTCAGTATTTTTATAAATTTGATTATTATAAATTGTCGATAAATCAAAAGTTGTTTCGTTACGTAAATAAATTAACCAGATTAATTAGAAATAATTTTTTAGATATTAGGAAGACAATCAAAGGGATCTCTTTTTTATACTTTCTGTAAATTTCATTTTTTACATTAATATCTCATAGTGAAAACATATGAATATTTTTCAAAAACTCAATATCGTAACAAAGCAATGATAAAGATTCCACTAATGAAATTGTAACATACTTTCTCTTTTAATAAACTGTTGTAAGTTATGTGAAAGATTTATCATACTTCAAATTATGTGTTCTTTTACAGTATAATCAATTATATTTGTGCAAATAAAGAGATGCAATCATTTCAATACGAAAATAATTAATAATTTATTGTGACCTTAACCCTTTGAAAATGACTGTACATTTGAATATCACTAATAAAATAAATCAAAATTTTTATTTCTTCGAGTGTTCATTCAGAGAAATACGTTGCACTATTTTGAAAAGAAAATAAAACATCAGCATAAAAACATTTTAACTATGGTTCAAGTTCTCAGTCGACTCAAATTATCTAAAAGGTGAGGTTCCTCTCAAAGCAATAATAATTAATAGAATGTACAATGGAATCTGAATTTAAAATACAATTCATAGTGAAAAAAACTAGGACTTATTTTTTATAGAGCCTTTTTACTTGCCGGAATGTTTAATGAACAAATTATTTTTTTTTTCTTTTAAATAGTCGTTGCCGACAAACTATTAGTTATTTAAAAGCTCCGAGTATGAAATTTCAGGTTTATTACACTAAACAAAATTTATTGTACTGACGTCTGCATTAATCATAAATATATCATATAACTATTTTTTTAAATATCATGCCGGATGGATTTGTTGATTCGACTAAAAGCATATCATTATTTTATCTCTTTTTAATATAAAATAATGTAAAATGGGTGGAAATTGTTTACTATTATAATTATCATGATAAAAACGATCTTGCCTTATCTACTTCTTCATGATTGAAATCAACATTACAATTAGCAGAATTCATTGATCAGTAAGAGAATTGATAATGAATTAGATCATGATTCCAAGTACATTATTTTCTATTCCAAAAACCGGTATTCTATAATTGATCACAAAAAATACGGAGTAATGGTTAAAGACGGTATAACTCTTTCTGAATCTGGCACAGCTTGAAATAATATTGTACTTCTTTGATCAACACTTGTAAAATTCAATATACTAGCTACATTTCCGCAACGATAACAATAATTAGGTGCTGACCAGACTGTCACAAGTTTATCGTCAAACATGTACCTATATCCTGAAATTAAAACATAATTATTATTATTTATCTCAGCAAAAAATTTTCAATTCTTCTCTCAATAACTAAACTTTTGAATATTGATTAACGATTTCAATATTTTTTTTCAATTTACTAATTTTAACATACGGTAATTCTATGATTGATTGATAAATTGCGATAAAACAGTCTCAAAATTGAAAAATGAGATTTTAAAAAATCAATCGATATCTCAAAGGAGAATGTTATTATAGTTACACAAGTTTTAATATTGAGTGATAATAATTTTTATGAATAATATAAATTTTCCGTACGTGCGTATTTTCGTCATAAATTTAAAGTTCTAAATTTTCAATTTATGTTAAAAAATTCTGAGTTTTAAATATTTTTTTTAGATTTAACGAGTTGAAAAACAAAAGTCAAAAATAAAAAAAGTATGATAGATAAAAAATAATTTCGGAGTTAACAATAGTTTTGAGCAAATAATTAAGTCATAAGTAAATGTATACATAAATTTTCAATCGTTGATGTAAAGCTTAATAATTTACGTAACTACCTTCATGCACCAATTGATGAGCTCTGCATATAAGTTCTAAATCATTTATTTCCATAAATTTATGAGTTACTTTACTCCCAAATAACCAACCGGCACCACGTGGACTTACGGCCCATGCATCAACGTCTTCTGGATCCGACCATAATAAGTCACAAAAAGCTCCTTTAAAAAAAAAAAAACAAAATTAAAAATTAATAATCCTATACTTTCTCGGTGAGAAATTTTATGCTTAAAATGATAATTGATGCATTAGTTTACCTTTATGAGGAATTTCTTGATTCCTTTCAATCGTTCTAATTTGATCCAATGTTCTAATAGCTGGAGATAAACCACCATGTACACAAAGTACTCGTTCATCGATCAACTGTCAAAAATTTTATACAATGAAAATATTGTTATTTATACAAAGATTAATAATATTTATTTTATACATACGGCAGCCACAGTAAGTAAATCAAATACTCTGCAACAATATTTCCATGGATTCGCATTGCCATACTTCATTTCACATTCATCTATTATTTAAAAAAAAATATTAATCAATGTTTTAACATATATTCTACAAAATAATAGATAACTGACTAAACAATAATAGTGTAATGAATGATAGTACTACAAAAACAAATCAAAAATTATAAATTAATAAAAATACCGTAAAATCCATAAACTTGTGTAATTTGTCGTGATTCATGATTTCCACGTAATAATGTTATTCTATCAGACCATTTAGCTTTGAGAGTTAACAGTCGTGTGAAGGTTTCTAAACTGTAGTATCCTCTGTCTACAAAATCTCCCATAAATATATAATTAGTGTCAGGCACTGGACCTCCATTTCGGAATAACTCTTCCAAATCATAAAACTGTAATACAAACAATTAAACATTAATAAATTGCTAATAAATACAATCATATACAACACAGAACAAGATAATATACTCGAAAAGTATTGAGAATAAAGATTTATGAAAAAAAATGTTTTCATTGTTTACCTGTCCATGAATATCACCACAAACAGTTACCGGAGTTGATACTGGCTGAATATTGGACTCCTCCAGCAATAAATCACACACAATGTCACAAAGTTTCTATGGATAATTATTAACAATGATAAAACAATTATTGCTATTCATCAAATAAAGCGTTATGATTCTAACCTCAACATAATAACTATAATTAGTTAATTTCTACAAGAAATAATTGGTTTTATGAAAATAAGTCTTGGAGGTTAGTTGAAATATACTACGATTTAATTAATAAAATACCTTAAGATCATTTTCAGGCAAATATTTGCATTGTTTTGCTACGTCGATCCAGTTATCGATGTCTGACATTTTGGTGTAATAAAAACTACTCGAAGTGTGGCGGTACTGTCAACGCAGTCACGCCTCTGGCGGCAGACCTGCAACTATAGCTTTTATAAAAGCGCCTCAACACCGCCAAGCGCCAACAACTGGGACTATCCAACGGACTATAGATCTCAATCTCACACAACACACGAAAATAAATCGCTCAAGATACCACGACAGTGATGTGATTGGTCAAATATATCATATGCATGAAAATATGGGTTGCAGTCAACTAGCCAGACTGACAACATTCCGAATTAATAAATTATTAGAACTTAGAAAGTAAATATTAAATGTAATTTAAAATAATTAATTTTACAAAATTTTAAAATTCCGAAAAACATCGGAATCTTAAATAAAGAAAAAACTAAAGCTATATCAATAGAATCTTTCAAAGTCACTAAGTCTCAATAAATTAAAAAACATAACAACGAAAATTTGTACGCCAAAATGAATGAACAGACGAACACTCATTTAGCCGAAAAATGTAAATAATTTTATATTTAGATTAGAAAATTTTTTTAATTAATTTTAAATTAGTTAATTTTATTTTAATTTACAAGCATGTATGAAAAACACTCAAATTTCATGCTTGTAAATGTGGACCATCTGAGAAAAATCTCCAACTTTTTGGATGAGTAAACAAATTTTCGGCCGAATCATTATTCGGATAGATGAGTATTCGGATGAATATACGTCGGAACGAACCTTTTTCGAAATCAAATTAATTTTAACTTTTGAGGAATATAAGATTTATATTTACTTATATTTGATAACCCGGTGTTTTATAATTTACAAAATTGTTTTTCGGCTGGTATTCTATTTAAGCTAATGTATTTTATAAACTTTGAATATAGCGGAATTTTAAATTTTCTAGAGTTTTGATAATTCGTATTGTTGTCGATCTGACTGATTGACCGCAACCCGAAAATATATGTAAACTCTATAGTCAGGCGCGCGCAAATTAAATTCTAGTATGCAATAAAACAAATTATATTTTAGTATGATATTTTTATTTTTAATATCTAATTAATGATGACTAATTTGAACGAATTTATATTCTTTCTATTATTTTATGTTCATAAAATGAAATCATTTTTTAGATTTTTATATTTGTAAGCATTTTCATGATGTGATTGAGGATTTTGAATTAGCCTCTTAACATGAATGTTTTCAAAGATTTTTAAATATTTAAACAAGTTAACAAATATTTCGATTTTTAGATTGCCAAACTTTCGAATTTTTCTTCAAAACTTGAAGTAATACCAACGCGATCTGCTACAGCATTTCTTAACTAATCTGTTTCAATTAACCATGTGCTTGACTTCGAACTACGGGTATTGGCTAGGTGTGTAGTGGGTTCGAGTCCCACGATATTCATAGAGACCAGCTGGACTACACCAGCAAAAAAAATTAGGAATACGGTTGACCCTGAAGGCCATCCCTGCAACTTCCCGCCAATTCTATACCTAAACGCTTGAAATTGCACTTCTGACGTTTTAGAGCTCTTCGAGCTCATAAATACAATTTGTGTATTATTTTGAGCTCTCCGAGCTCAAAAGTTTGATAGGAGTTTGATAAAACACTATTTTTTTTTATTTTCAAATCGCAATAACTTTTGAATGAATGAATCGATTTTCACGCTGTTGGCGGCATTCTACGCAGTTTTTTAAGCCTCATAAAAAATTCTTCAGTTTCAATTGGTTAAACTAGAAATTTCGGAGTAATTCCGAAAAAACACTTTTTTCGGTTTTTTTTCGTTCACGATATCTCTTGAACGAATCAACCGATTTTGACCGGATTGGCAGCAATCGACGTTAGTTTTTGAAATCGATCGGTATAGCCATTTAAAAGTTATTCCAAAAAAACCACTTCTGAAAAAAATTTTTTTCCTATTTTTTTGGAGATTTCTCTAAATTTCTCAAAATCTATCGGTCCGAATCGGTTCAAATTTTCAGGAAATCTAAGTTTAGTGAAGCCCTTTCGAATGGCACCAACCGCGATGAAATCGGTTTAACCGTTCAAAAGTTGTAAGAGGTTTACATACTTACACACACACACACACACACA